TTAAGGCCTGAGCTGTTTTGGTTGGAAGAAGCTGTTTTTCCACACGACCCTGTTCTGAGCAACTTGGTTACCTAATCACAAATTATTTGTAGGTAATTTCCCTAATAGATTAAAAATCTAGTTTTCTTTAACGGCATATCCAATATATCCCACCAATTTTCTTGCCAAATAAAATACAATTATTGTATTTTTCACTGTATAAATCTTGTTTTTTTGCATAATTTTCATGCCCTGTGACTTATAGGCCGAAGCAACATATTTATGGATTTTTTTTCCTACATTTATAAACCAATTTTTGGCTGAGATATGACCGTTGAGCAGTACCACTTTCAGCCACTAGATGACAGCAGAGTAGTAGTAGCTGTATGGCATGCCGTTGTATCATGTAATAAGTAAACGTGGCTATAATGACAAATTCAAAAAAGTTTAAGATAAAAACAACTGGACTTTATTTATTATAATTTATTTTTTATTGTTTTTGTCTTGAACTTTTTTGAATTTACCATGTCCTGGATGACTGAGAATCTTCACCAACATTAATGACACAATCGGCCTGCCATAGGCTCCCCACCTTTGTTCTGCTCGCTGCTTGGAGCAACTGTCAAATAAGCTGCACCGCCCTGGAGAAATGCAGCTAGTTTGACCATTAAAGTGCATTTATTAAGTAAAAGTTCAACTGAGACACACCTCTGCTATAATGTCGAGCAAACAAATAATTGTTTTTAAGTATTAATCTTGTTAAATTCTTGTTAAAGTCCTCCCGTGCACGCTCCCGCGGCTGCCATTTGACAGCCCAATGATTTTTGACGCAACACCGGCCCACATTTCTGGATTGTCAGCGGTGACGTATAATATATGCGATTATAAGATATTCCACTTTTTTTAGACATATTTGGACTGATGTGACATGTACGGCGGAAAATACGGTAACTTATGTTGGAAAATGGTGAATCTGTAGCTGGTTTGATTAAAACTCAAACATAACCTTATGGCGGTCACACGCAATATCCCTGGATTCAGAGTATTGATTATGAACAGCTCTCAGCTACTACCACATAAAGTTTTAGGTCAATGTTTGTAAAATTGACTTGAGCACTAGCCATTTTTGTGCTGACTAAATCAATTAGCTGTGGCTGTCAGACTAATTTGGACTAACTCCAAAAGTTAAACAGTTTTAGATGTACACGAAAGGATTAGTTTCCGCAAGTTTCATTCAAATCTATCCAGTAGTTCCTGAGATATTTTGCTAACAGACAAATAGGGTCACCTTCAAAAGGTGTAAGGCTGTAAGCAAATATCCTGCACTTGAAATATGTGTTGTGAATGAAGCTCATTCTCAACCTCATCAAGTTTTAGGTCAATATCTTTAAAATTGACTTAATTAAATCATTGTGTTTTTTTTTACGATCAGTTCGCTGTGGCAGCCATCTTGAACTAAGCTGTCTTCAAAGATGCATTAGTTGTAGATGTATTCCTGTTACATACTCTTACCAAGTTTCTTTGAAATTTGTCCAGCGGTTCATTAGATATTTAGTTAACAGACACGTGAACTCATGCACACGCAAACAGACGAGGACATATAATCGTTCACCTTCGCCTTTCGGCAATGTGTGATAATAAAACGCTTCTCTTTGTCTTTTGCAGGTAAGATACTGAATTCTCATGGGTATTTCATGTAACCCCATAAAAAAAAAAAAAAAAACTTTAGTTGAGATCTAATGACAACCCAGCTCTCAGCTTTTGTCTCCAGCTCAGGAAACAGAGGGTTCCTGTTTTGGACTTCAAGCTCTATTGTTATCTTAAACACCATTTCCACGGCGTACTCTCTCTCTCTCTCTTTCTCCACGTGTTTCTCCAGCTCTTGCTTCACGCACTTGCAAAATGTTATCTGCCCAAATCTTGATCTTATATGGCTGTTTAGCGGCACACTTTTTTTTTTTTATCAGGGCTTTCCACTTCACTAATATTGACAAAATCAGAAAGATAGAGTCAACAGAACTCTGGTACCGTTTATCCTGCATTATCTGTGCCTCCTATCTGTTCTCCGTCTGGAGTCACAGGCAGTCCCTTCTATTTTTTGCCACTCAAGTGTATAAATTTCCTTCGACGATGCTTTTCGCAACTGATTTTCATGATTTATTATTTTCTGCCGTTCTCGTCAGACCATATTTACTCCCCTTTGTGTGGGAACCGAGGTGCTGCAGCTACAGTCTGGATTTGCAGCAGCTGGATTTAACGCACCATTAAGGTCACTTGATGTTCGAGCTGCACCTGCAATTTCCCACTCTGTTTTGAACCCCTCGCCTCCCTTGTTGCTGTTCTATTTCTTGGTGGGCTTTTTGTTGCATTCCTCAGCTCTGCCATCCCATCACCCATGAATCAACTGTCCCTTCTACGCTCACTATTTTTCATTTTTTTGACCAAAAACATCTGCTGCCCCCTCTCACTCTGGCACACCTAACCCCTGCGCTCTGTTTTGTTTGTCTCAGCCTTGCTCTTTGTGTCTCAATGTCTCTGTCGCCTCATTTTCTCTGTTTCATGCCCCTCCCGTTCGCAGGCTGTTGTGTTGTGTCTGCCAGGCCTTCTCAGCTGGAGCGCAGGTTTCCTGAGTACTGGAACGGAACAGGAGCTGGCAGGGAGATACACTGAGAAAAGCCAGCTTGACCATTCCCACTGAGTATCACACACGCTCACACTGCTGCTCACACAAGACAGACAGCAGTGATGTACATATGTAATAATAATGCCACCTGTCATGGATAATCCCAGCTGGACTGAATTTATTGTATCAGTACAGTGAAGTTCACCCTTTATGTTGCATCAGATCTAATTAGCTGTAGCAACTATGTCCCATGTTAATCATGTTAAGTGCATTAAAGGGCTTGTTAAGATCACGTGAAGTGGGGTTCTGTCAAAAAGAGGAAATAGCTCTTTTGACCGCCTCTGTTTGGAGAAATGGAGATTAATTTTTCCCATATTAAGTAGTACCAAGCTCACAGTTGATTTCTCTCGTAATAAATCAACATCAGTGTCAAAGCTTTCACAGCAAGTCATGCAAATGCTGCTTTATAAACTTAAATCACCATCAATGTCGCATTTTATCAACATACATGTAGAACTGTGTGTTGTTTTACAAGCGCTACAAGGGCAGCTAACTGTTGGCACATCTGGCAGAAATATTATAATATTTCTGCAGAACACCCAAGCAAAGCAAATGTGATGGTGGCAGAAAAGTTTATTAATTAGCTTTTGCACGAGATGCAATGATATTTCTGTGATTTGAGTTGTTTTAGCTATATTTAGCTCGCACTCAGAATTAAACTCTGTTTTATCCAAACTGAAGCCGTTTAAAGAACTATCTACAACAGGTAACATAATAGTTGTTGATAATCTTTCTGCGGAACCCCAAATGCTCTCCCTTTAAGCATGGGGTTGTCAGTAAACAGCTTGTAAGTTTAATAGCCAATCAAATGTGCCACATAATTTTAACTAGTGAAATCTGTTGCATTTGCACGCTTTAAATAAATGATAGTATTTGTATCTGTGCATAAAGCCAGACTAGAAAGATTTGAAGGTTTTCAACAATTATTTTTATTTTGTTGTTATTTCATAATCCTATTGTATCCATTTGATTACTGAAATCTTGATCACGGTAGTTTAAATACAAACTTTAGTGGTAGTATTCTTTTGTGATGTAGCTTTTTGTACGAAACAAGTGTGAAAACAGTTAGGCTTTTCTGTGCGGTGAGACAAGTCAGTATTGATTTAAGAAACTTCACATGGCACACAGACTACTTTCCAGTCTCCATAAACAGAAGGAACGCACTCTCCACCCCTCCAGCAGGCGCACAGATCGCCACTCACACCATTAACACAAATGTAGACAATTATAAACATTACCGTCCTAAGAATAACTCCATTTTTCCCTAAAGAATGATGTTTATTTCTCAGTGGCTGCTTAGCGTATCCCTTTTCTCAGCTCAGTGAATGTTGTTTACGTCTCCTCCCGCTCCTGATTTCACCCTGGAGAAATCAGTGCCCTTTGCACCTGGTCAGTTCACAGCCCCGACTGAAAACGAGAAACCCAAGAGTCCCCTGTGGAGCATCATTAAACTGTTGTTGGATTCCTCATTTTGGAACAAATAGCTTTAAGTGGCAGTAATTTTTGAGAATGGCTTTTCTAAATTAGGAAACTAACCCCGAGAAAGAGTTAGAAGTCTAATACGTGTTAAAAGCTTTGCTCATTGATGACTCAGATGAACTGTAGATGGTCTTTTCTCTCACAGCTGACTGAATACTGATGGCGTTATACATTATAAAAACAACACATAAGAAACAGATACAATTTAATGAGGTTAACTTTGTTTACATGGACTACAAAAGTAATGTGAGGCTACAAAATCCAAAACAACTCCAATCTGAGTCTGTTATAAAATCAGATTCAATCTAGTGCATTTAGCAAATGGGTCAATATCTGTAAAGCCTAATGAGAGCCATATTTTTTTTCACAAGTTCAAAATGTCTGAAATAATTATTACAACAGTGATGTATACGAATGAAAAACTTAAGAACAATTGTTTGTTTATTATTACAAATAATCAAAATGTGAGTTTTCTTAAACGTTTTTATTAGAATTAAAATGTTTATTGCCAAGTTTACACAAGGAAATTTTCAGACAAAGGTTCACAGGTTAATAAACACACATACGCAAAAGGTAAAATACAACAGCTCCTTTTTTAGAACATGTAAATATGCAAACAAATGTGTTATGCAAAATAAAAAAAGAAATTGGTGTAATAAAGAAAAATAAATGTTATTTTTTTATATTAAGTATGTCTGAGTTTAGACTAAATGAATTTAAACGAAATATATATTCAAATGTACTACTTCAGTAAAAATAAAAAGGCTCATTCACGTTTTCGAAACAAATTAAACCCGAGAGCTATAACTAGCACGACATTTCCCACAATGCCTCGCGATCTTACGTCATTAATCTGCGCAGAGCTGAGGTGGCGTTTGTATAGAGGTAAACACGCAGGCTTATTTTGTCTTTAACACGTACTAAACAAAATTATTTTACACTTCTTATTTCTTAGGGAGTGTGTTGCTTTTATAAATCTGTTTATTTATTTATTACAACGTCTTCTTGTTTGTTTTCCTCGGTGTGTTTTAGCTCGACATGCTAACAGGATGCTACGTTAACTTACGATGCTAACACGGTTTTATTCTCCGACAGGTCGTTAAACAAAACTTCGTCATATTTTTTTTCATCATGACGAAGCTAATGCAGTGGTTGTTCGTCGTGTTGCTGCTGGGTGCAGTTTGGACTTTAGTTACCTTCGACCTGTTGGACCTGAGCCTTCCGCGGACGTACCGGGAGGTCGCCTGGCCGATGCCCGTCTACCTGCTCGTGTCGTTCGGATGCTTCTCCCTGGCCACGGTGGGCTACCGGGTGGCCACCTTCAATGACTGTGAAGAGGCCGCCAGAGAGCTCCAGGAGCAGATAAAAGAAGCTAAAGAAGACCTGAGGAAAAAAGGCTTGAAGCTTTAGGACATTTAAAGGACTAGAAATAGACTTGAGTATAAAATGGGCTGGACAGTTTCACGCACGTCTACTCGAAGTTCCAAAAAGTTGATGCTGGATGAAACTGGACTCTAAATATCATATTCTTTGGTTTCAGAAGATGCAGTCAGAACATAAATTACACTTCGCAAAGCCAAAGTCATTGTTGTCTTTTCAGTGAAGTATAAAGTTTCAAGAAAGGAGCACTGAATGGCTAAATATGTATTTCTGTGATTTACAGATACCTGAAAAAAGTCAGTTCTAGTTGTGTTTATTGGTCAACAGATCTTGTAGAAGATCAATTCTGGTTGGAAACACCAGCATGTATGCCACTGTTTTGCTGATACATCGTGTTTAACTAACTACAGTTTGCTTAAATTCCAGCAAAAAATAATAAAAAAAGTCACAAATTCCTAAATGAGTTTTAATTTAAAGGTTTCAAAGTAGATGTTCTGTGAGAGTGGAGACATAATGCCTGTTAGTGCAGACAGATTTCGATTTTTATCTGTAAAGAAGTTTACATTCCTTTGTTCGGTGTCTTTTGAGGTATGGCACAAATTAATTAAAAGGAGATTTATTTTCTAAATTGATTCTCATCTGTGGTTTGGGGTGTCGGGTACATCTATGAAGTATACATGTGGTAAACAATCTCTTCTTTAAGCGTAACCCACATTGCCTCTAGGCTTCAGATCAAACCTAATGCCCACCTCTGATTAACAGATGGATTCCCTTTATCCCTTTGTCAAGTAATGACACGTAAGACACATTATACAACATTTCCCTTTGTGCACTTGATCCAGAAAATGAAATCTGAGCATATAACTTTGAAGTGATTGAGGTTGGCAGTTGTGTTTTTTAGTGAGCCTTAAAATGCTGCCTGTGCTCATTTTCACTGAGTCCCTGCTGAGTATAAACAACACATAACTGCACCAAAGGCATCATTATATGGCTTCAAAGGATCCCATAACTTCTGAACAAATGCAAAAGCATTGGCAGCTCTGTGAGAACTCTGTCTATTGTGCTGTTTGGCTACAACGTCAGCCTCCCAACCCCCCCCCCCGTTTCTCTGCAAGCTGTTGCTTGAGCAGACCGAATGAAAAGCAACTGGTTGGTTAGAACATCTTCTAATTTGGCAATTACACCAAAGACGGATATGTTTTTGGTAATTTTCTTTGTCTATATTTCTTAACAAATCAAACTTGAAAAGAAAAAAAAATAATCTTCTCATATTTCCCTCAAAAGCATTCATTATTTTAGGTTAAACGTTTTGCAGTCCTTTTTTCAGGACATTTAACAGCATGAAAGTATGTTTTAATCCCTTATTGGAGGCATACAATTAATAAGCTCCCTCTCAGACTTCAACATTTTCATAATAACGGGTCTAAATCAAACAAGCACATTTAAACAACTGCTGTTGGCCAAAGTGTTGCACGTAATACAAATTAAATTAAGTTTTTTATATAGCGCCAAGTCACAACCGAAATCGTCGCAGGGCACTGCACAGAAACATTCATATATAAAAATAATTAATATTATTTATCTGAGGAGCAGACTGCTTTGAGTTTTAACTCCATCGCAGAACTCTCATTTTGAGCAAGCATGAAGGCAACAGTGGAAAGGAAAAACTCCCTCATGAGGAGGAAACCTTTAACAGAGCAAGGCTCAGGACAAGCGAGCATCTGCTTTGACCAGCTGGGTTTGGTAGGAACAGATACACAATGGCAGGTCAGTAATGAGAAGACTACAATAACGCAATCATTAAAACATACAATAAAAAACACCAATACTAACCAATAAAAATAAATAAAAAGTCAATTCTTATGCTATATTAAAAGCCAGTAAGTACAAATGTGCTTTAAGAAGAGAAAAAAAACACTAAATGTTGAAGCCTGTCTGTTATGAAGAAGCAGCTGGTTCCACTTGAGCTATAGCTAAAAAGGCCCGATCACCTCTGTGGACCAGCTTAGAACACGAGACAACCGAAAGCAAAAAATCATTAGATCTGAGGGATCTAGAGGGCAAATAAGACTGCAGGAGGTCAGATACTGTAGGTATACAAGAGTCTGTCCATGTAAGGCCTTATAGGTCAACAATAAAACTTTAAAATTAATCCAAAAACAAACAGAGCCAATGAAGAGATGCAGCACCGGGAGATATGTTCACGCTTTTTTGTTTGTGTTGAAAGATGAGTTGCAGCGTTCTGGACCAGCTGCAGACACTGCAATAATATGGTTGGACTGTAATAAAATTGCAAATCACGTGTTAAAAGTGTTTAAAGAATAAAAAAGATTTTACTTTAGTTAAAAGCCTCAATTAAAAAAAAAAAAAAAAATATATATATATACATATCCGGATGCA